ACTAGCTTTTAACTAATGGAAAACTGCATTTTGGAATGTATAATTAAATATAAAAAATTGGTTCCCTTCAACAAAAATACATAAATAAATAAAGGAAAAATACACTTTAATAATCCCAACTACAGACGATTTACTTTTAAAAATCCCAAGTAAGGTTTATTATCTAATAATCCTAACTATTGGGTATGTTTGCCAATAATACTCCCAACCGGTCAACACAAAATCAATGACCAGTAATAACAGGCTAGCATGACATGTGTCAACACGTGATTGGTCTAAATTTAAAAAAAAAAACAAAAACTTCTCTGCCACCAACAACCACCGCAAAACCCTAACCCCCCATACATTAACACGTCGGAAACTGGATGGCCACCCTAATTAACTTCTGGAACAGGCCTGCCGGCCTTATACAACCCTAATTGACCTACCCCGACTCCTGAAACCACCTACCCAGCCACCCCAATCCCAAAAACGTAGCCTAGTTTTGTCAGACTTGTTGGTGGTTTTTGGGATCGAGGTAGCTGGGTAGGCGGTTACGGGTGTAATACCTCGTATTTTTATATGTATTTTATTTAAAATAAGTATTTTGAGAAGTATTTAAATAAATTGAAAGGTTTAATTTAAAGTATTTTAATTATTTATTTTAATAAGTTTTGAAATATTTTATAAAAGGAAAGTTTATTTAATTAATTATTTTATTTAAGTTGGGGTTTAATTTAAGAAAGTTTTATTTTAAATTAGTAAAGTTTTATTAGGGAAGGGATTAGGAAAGATTAAAAAAGGAAAGTTTAGGTAGGAGGATTTCTAGAGAAGGGGTATAAATATTCAACACTTAAGGCAAATCAAACTTTGCCCATAGTGGAGAAAACCCAAGTTAAACTTCTCTCCCCTTTTCCTTATTTTTCTTTTTCTTTTTCTTTTCTTTCTGTTTCCCCCCTCCCCTTTCGACCTTCACCATCACCGCCGGCCACCACCACCACCGGTGGGCCGCCGGCAGCAGGTAGCCACCGGAGCTGGCAGCAGCCGTGAGTGGCTGTCGGCTGCCCGGTTTATTCAAACAAAAAGTTAAATAAATATTTGTTTTAAAAACTAGTTTAATCCTAGATCTAATAATTAATTATGAGTTTTATGATTTGATTATGATGTTTGATTATGAGTACATGTAAATTAATTTTTAGATTTTATTTTTAATTGAAAAGCCCCAACTTTTGAAACCCTAGATTCATAAATTATTAATTATTGAAGGATTATGATATACAATAGTTTAAACCTTTGATTTAAGTGTTTTAAAGCCTAATTACAACAAGTTTTCATTAAAATATGATGCTGGAATTTTTGGTAGTGCATTAAAAATTAAGTTTCTTTAAGGAATTTCAATTACCCATTAATTGTGATTAAAGTATGATGTTTTAAATATAATTTCAGCTTATTTTAATTAAATTATGAGGGTTTTATAATAGTATATATTGCTGGAAATTTGTGTAAAGAGGATTTTAATACTCTTCTATGATTTTAAATTGTAGGAGACTTCGAATTGAGTGATTTCTATTAGTCGTGGCGATTTTAAGATCGTATACAAGGTACGTTCGCGTACTTAGCACAATTTTATTGATGTAGTAGCATGCTAAATGTGTTTAATTGATTACAATTAGTATCATGCTAGATTTGGAATGGAAATTATGATTTGGACGTTGTTGGTGATTGAATTATGAAGCATGATTTATTTGTAATGGATTTATGGATGGAAAATTATAGTTTGGAATATTGTTTATGAACCACACTTTTATTTATGGCATGTTAGAGAGCATGTTTAATTAAACTAAATGTATAATTTGGTTTGGAATGTTAAATTTTTTTTTTATTATGGTTCATATAATTTTTATTGATACGTTAAGCATGGGAAATGAGCTATATAAGTGTCTAAGTACACGATGAATAAATTATATGTTGGTGCCTTAGTGCACTTAAGGTGTTTTTAACACCGAGGGATAGGATTTGTGGCGCTTTATGTCATTGACACCGAGGTAGATTTAAAAAGGGTTCAACATTAAATTTTATGTGGTCATTAATGATTCAAGAATTAAATTGGTATGTTTGATTGTTTGAATAATTATTGTTGATTGAATGATTATGGTTTGAGAGTCATCACCAAGTTTAATAATATGTAAATAACGTAAAGTGAAAGAGATTACGCAGCAAAACTCTTGGAACGTATATACCTTGAGTGTGAACATATGGGGCGAGTTATAGGGTTTTATATTTAACCATAACTTCTACTGAAGTACATAACACTGTACATTCCTTTTTATTATTAATTATTATTATTATGCGCAGGAATTCCGCCACTTACAAGTGGTTATTGATACTGGCATGGTTAGCTCCCGTGTCAGTAACTTCAATTTATTGGGGGAGGTTTGTGGGAAACCCGTTCGATGTGTAATCAACGCTAAATAAATTATGTAATTGTCTAGTTGAGAAGTTTTGTTGAATGTTGTATGCTTGAAAAACAGGTGCAACAAGGTAAGTTGTGTGTTGATAGGTAATTGCATGTTAGTGTGTTAATTACGCTTATGTACTCAGCTTTGCTGATTTTGTGTTTTGTATGTTTATTGGCCTTGTATTTATCTTGGCCCCATGATGACCCATTTTTAATGGAGAGTAGTTGAAACAAGTAGAGAGAAGCTTTTCAGGTGATGAAGCATATTCATGAATGGACATGAATGAAGAGCAAATCATGCTAGTTTTCATAAGTATATGATGTGTTTAATGCTTTTATTATTTATGATATTATTATGCATGAGACTAACGCGAAGTTTTGGAATTTGGTTTGGTTTTAATAAGGACCTATAATGGTTCCAAGTTGTAGGTTGATTTTATTTTACTTCGTTTGACTTTGGTTTGACTTTACTTTTGTTGGTTGACTTTTTAAGTTGACTTGTTTGAATGTTTTGAAATTAGTCTTCCGCTGTGTGTCTTTGATAGTTGCCTTAGCCGTTTTCACGGTGGCGGTAATGTCTTAGATATTCCCATTTAAAGTTTAAACAGGGCAAAAGAAGTATTTTATAAGAAAGGAATTTCTAGGGTGTTACAACGGGGGTCGGGGCTAGGTTAGTTGGGGTTTTAGAAGGCTGGACGTCGATGGTTATGGGGTGCGGTCGGCCAATTTTCATCGAGTTAAGGGTTTTGTGATGGGGGTGGTTTCGTTGGATTCCAACGAGTTTTAGGGATCGGGGGCTAGGTCTGGTGGGTTTGTGGAAGGTCGGTCGACCAGTTTTGGAGGTGGTTTTGGTGGTCGGGGTTTGCTGGGGAGGTGGTTTCGGTGGTCGAGGGTTTGGTGGTTTCGGTGGTCGGGGGTTTGCTGGGGAGGTGGTTTCGATGGTCCGGGGTTGACTGGGAGGTGGTTTCGGTGCTCGGGAGTTGGCTGGGAGGTGGTTTCGGGGATCGGGGGTTGGCTGAGAGGTGGTTTGATGGTCGGGGAAAGATGGCTGACCAGATTCCAGCAAGGTTAGGGATTGACGGGGTGGCTGGGAATATTTGGGGATTTTTAATTTTTTTTTATAAAAAATTTGTACCAAACCCATGGTGACACGTGGCAATAAAAAAAATTAAAAACTCTTTCTGCAGGTTACCGGTCATTGGGACTATTATTGGCAAACATACCCCATATTATTAAAAGTAAATTGTCCATAGTTAGGATTATTAAAGTGTATTTTTCCATAAATAAATGGTAGGTTTTCTTTAGCATAAAATCATCTTTAATGAAATAAATTAACTAATAACGGAGATCGAACAACCTCAATTATCAACAATCAAAATGAACTCACAAAAATCATGATCATGATCAAAACATACACAGTGCCTAAAAAACCCACATAATTTCAGATCAATCCAAATCATGATCAATGATCAAAACATACACAATGCATAAATCGTTCACAAAATCAATCAATCAATCAAACAAACGAAAATCAGTTTATATTAATTCGAAAACACACACAAAACACATGATCTTGAATACTATTCCAACAATAATATTGGAAAGTTTATTTGAATTTTGAAAATAAGAAGAAAAAAAATCAAACCAGAAATTATAGATTATAAACCAAGAAAAAAAATCAAAAGAAACTGAAATGTGGGAGAAAGAAAGTACATGTATAGATTGAATTGCTTTAGGGTTCGAAGAAGATGCTGCATGAATGCGTGATGAAACGAGATGGAAACCCCAAACATCATCTAAAATTACGTCATCTAAATTCAAAAATCTATTGGTACCGACTATTTTACTATGACACCCTATTGCATGTTAAGTGTAGTGTCGTATCCTTCGACACTTCAGCATGACACGACACCCAAATATATAGTGGTCTTTTATGAAATTTTATAAAATCTGTGGTGTTAAAGGATATGACACTGCGTCAAACACTACACCCAAATCCGAGTCAGTGCAACATAAGGTACCGACATTTAGACATAGTAAAAGGATTATCCTCTTAAGAACTACAATCGATTTGCCAGGTTTTGCAGCGTGTCGATATTCTCGTCTTCTCCAAATTTTCGATCATTGTCTATTCTCTTGTTCAGTCTTTGTGTGCCACCATTGATTTCTCAAGCTCCTTTATTGCCATCGCTCTCTCTCTCTCTCTGCCTGTCCATCACTTTCATCTAACTCATCATCCTCATCTAACTTAGAAGATGTACAGATTGTAAGCTACTGAACCCAAGAGAGAAGATAGAACAAAGAGTTCTCAAAATCAAAAGCAAGCCAGAAAAACCAAAGAGAGCTATCTCAGCATGCAAAAAAAAAAAAAAAAAAAAAAAAAAAAAAAAAAAAAAAAAAAAAACAGAAGCTGATGTGGCATGGCAAAGGGGAAATCCGTTCACTCTAATTATTTGCTACAGTGCCCAGCCCTTTGGGACTTTATAAGGGAAATAGATACGAAAACCATTAGCAATAGTGTACTTTTCCTCACTTTCAAAAAAATGATTATGCCAAGAACAGATTAGACAAGGAAAAAAAACCGTAAAAGCCAGTTACAATTTATATCAATAATTCATTTTGCTTTCATTCTCTTGCAGATATATGAACAAAAAAAAAATGTGAAAATCTCTTTGCAGACAATGGAAATAAGCTGACTACTTTGTTGTTGGGGTAAACCACCATTTAAAATTTCGACCAAAATCTATGGTTCTTCTCTAGTTGGTCACCAAATAAAGATATATGCTACTTGTTTAGTACACAGTAAATGAAACCAAGATGACACTAATTCAAGAGATTGATCATCAATGACTAGAATGCTATAGTGTTCGCAGCAGCTTCAAGAAATCTCTTTGTTTCCGTATCCGGTTCAGCTAGTTCAGCTGGAATCTGACCAATAAGATAACAAGAGTGTCAGCACTTTACATCAAACTGGATGATATACTCAAAGTAAAACCAACCATCTAACACCAACTTACTTTGTCGTAGATGTTTTTCTTAGTAGGAGAAGCCCCATGTGCCAGCAGCAACCTTATCACATCCAGATGTTCACCTCGTGCTGCATGATGAAGAGGCTGCAGAATAGAGGAAGGTAACAAATATTAAAACTGTTACAAATCACTGTCAGAATAGGAAGGTAAAAAATGTTAGAAATTGTTACAAATCTGATCTATTCATCTATCAGAAATGGAGTAACACAGTAGATAAATGTATCCACTATTCAACAATTACAAAAACGGCTAGTAAGTATTATTTCGTATTACTTACAGTGTCACCTTCGACATCAACTGTTTCAAGCATTCTTCTCAAACATTCAGGATCAGAGGCCCGGCTAATCAGAAGTTGGACTATCTCAGTATATCCTGCGATCAAATTCAAGAAATCATGACACATGAAAAGTAATGGTAAAAAAAAAAAAAAATGCTTTCTTGCCAATCAAATGCAAATTGAGTGATTTTGACCCACCCCCTGCACAAGCATCATGCAAAGGAAGTGCTCCATCTTCATCTTTGGCCTCCACAGCAGCTCCTCGTTCCAAAAGGAGCTACACAATTGCAACACAAAACATCAGCAACGAATGGACTACATTAAGTTTGTAGGGGAAAAAACCCCGTAAACAAAACAACAATAACTAACCTGAACACAGGGCAAATGCCCATACAGACAGGTAAGGTGGAGAGCAGTATCCCCATCTTCGACTGGCTCATTAATGTTGCCATCCAAGTTATCTACACATCCATCACACAACTAAATTTTTTTTTTATAAAAGACAGCACTCACAATCCAACAAAAAAAACTTCTTGGCGACAGATCAATATTACCTTCAAGTTCCAATAAAAGTAATCATGCACCAAAAGTGCCAATTAGCATTCAAGACAAGCAAACAAACCCAACTGATATTCAACTGATATATATATATATATATCAGAAAAGGATAAAAAATGTGATTCTTTCTTTCACAAAAAATTCCTAATGTATCTCATATCCCATGGCAAGTTTAAAAATAAAGCAAACTTTTTGATCAAAGATGAAAAGAAAAAGCACTATTGCCATTGGATTTACACAAATCTCAATAAAGATACATGTTAATATGAGATTCTCAAATATAAGATACAATACGCATCCTAACATATACAATATATGACATACCACACAATTGAATTATATACAATACTTTTTTGCACTCCAAAGCAATTTTATCCCTAGATATGTTTACTAAGGAGGCATTTGGTAAAAGAAACGGAAAGGTTATGAAATTAAGAAAAGGGATATATAAGTTAAAGGGAAAAAAACCTTATGTAAGTAACATTTGTCTTGTTGTTTATAAACGAGAAAGGGAAAGAAAAAAAATAGCCTCAAAAATTACTACCATGCACCTCTCCTTCTCAATCCCTCCACCTACACAACCACACTCGCACCCCCACCACTGCCATCAGCACTGCAGCCCTACTATTGCACCAGCCCACCACACTGCTTATTTATCTCTATCTTTCTTTCTATTATTTCTCTCTTAGGTCTAATTTTTTCAAGGGTGAGGGACTGGGGTGGGTGGGGGTGGATTTTTGGGTAGGATAGAGTGGATATAGTGGGTGGAGCCGTGAAGGTAGATGTTTGGGTAGGTTAGAGTGAATTTAGCGAGTGGAAGTGGGGTTTCATGGGTCTGTTGTTAGTTTTAAAGTGGTTAGATTACATTCGTAGATTTTTGAGTGGGTTAGGGTTGTGTTTGCCTGGCAGCGATGGTGGTATTGGTGAGGGTGGTAGGGTAGGGCACTGGATGTATGTTGGTGTGATGATGCACTGGTGGCCAGAGAAAGAGATTGGAAAGGAAATATCTCGAGAAAAGGAGAGGGTAAATGGAATAACTAAAATAAGTAAATAACAATACGGGCATGCCTGGATTCCCTTGACAAATTAAGGGGGAAAGAGTAAGTGGGGTAAGTTTTACTAGGGAATTATTACAAGGATAATTTTTCATGTTTGGCAATGTTCCTTGGGTTAAAATTTCCCTCCGACTATCTTCGAGCCACTTGCATAAAAGTACTCGACTCTACAAAGTTAAACCATTACAAACCCCACCACCTCCTTGCAAACCAATTAACGGAACACTGGAAATCAGGATTTTAGAGAGAATGAGAAATTATTAAGGAGGGAAAAGATTACACTATGGGGAGCATGAGTAATCTTGCCCTCATTTGAAAGGGGAATACATTAACCCTTGACAATTATATTCCCAATCCAAGCATTAATGTATCATCTTAACTTTTACTACCCTGTTTTTTCTACCTCTATTACCTACAATCCAGGCATGTTCTACATCTCTTACCCTATGCTGAATCTTGGATACCCCATATCAAACGATCCCTAACTGGTATCTCAAGACACATGGCGATCTCCTTTCTTTCTTTCCCACTTAAAAGGACTTGATTTAGGTGACATAACAACTTGAATCCATAACTTCGCAAACATGGTTCTTATAGTGTGTCTATTGTCTAATAATATTGTCATTCATTTCTAAATGATAATTTATGCTCTTTTGTTTAACCTTCATATTTGTCTAATTCAATTCAGATATTCTTTGGAGTGCACACAATACAAACAAATTGCGGCCAAAGATTAAAAATCACAAAATTATAGTTAAACACAAACAAACAAAAAAATTTATTACAATTTCAAAAATAATTCACTATCAACAATACAAACAAATTGCGGCCAAAGGTTAAAACCCAATCAATCATAACACACAAATTACAATTTCCAAAAAAAAAAAAAAAACATTCAATACAATCATAAGAAACAAATTAACCATGAATTCAACAAGAAATCAAGAATCCAAAACATAAACCCTAAAGAAGAAAGTACCAAGAGCAAGGCGGAGAGCAGGGAGGTCGCCGGACTGAGAAGCGGCGGCGAGGTCACGAAGATGAGGAGGAATGTCGTCGAATTGAGCGTCAACAACGAGAGCATCTTCTTCGAAGAGACCTTCTTCGACGTCGTTGTCTTCGTCTTCTAGCATGCCGTTTCTTCGCCCTGGTACTGCCATTTTTTTCTTCCAAGAGCGTCAACAAACTTTGCTTGCTGCTGCTTCTGGACTAGTTTTAACTTCACCAGAGTTTTTATGTGCCGAATATAATGGTTTGTGAAATGGTAATCAAAGTTTAATTTAAAGGTAGGTTTCGGGCGGGCCTCATTTCGTATTGTGTCCATCAATCGTGCCCAGATCCAACCGTAGTTGAAGCCGTGTTTTATACTCCTTTCATTTTTAAATATTTGGGAGAAATTAGGGAAAATAATAAAATCTAGAGGTAGTGTGGTAGTTGAGAAAATAAAAAATTGTAAAAAACAAAAAATAGTGGAAGAATTGGAGGAGAGATAATATTATGTTGGGTCCACTAAGTATGGAAAATGAATTAAATATTGTAAAAATTTTCCAAAAAAAGAAATGGAGCAAGTATTTAAAAACGGCCAAAATATGAAAGTGGAGAAAATATTTAAAAACGGAGGGGTCATAGTTTTTTAGTTCCAACTTTCTTTTAATTTTCTTTAATTGAAATATTTGGATGTGACTCAAGGATTGTTTACAATCAAGAAAAAATTGATAAAAATAATCTCAACTTTCGCTCGTTTGCTCAAAATAATCTCAATTTTGGATAATTTTAAAGAAAACTTGCAAATTGCAGCCATTTAAAGTTCGTATGTTGCAAATTGCAGCCTTTTAAAAAAAATTGCAAATTGCAGCCCAAAAGTTCGTATAAATTGTAAATTGCAGCTCGATTCAAATCGGTTTACAAGTCGAAAAATCTTCGATTAAGGTTTTAGGGGTCATTTTAGGTCTTAGGGGACTGAATTGAGCTCGAAATTAGCAAAAAAGTATCGCAAGTGCCTCGTTTTGCGTATCAAAAATGTATCGATTTGTGGGAAACTATAAATACGAGACATTTACGTTATTTTTTTGCTAATTTCGAGCTCAATTCGGGGCCTTAAGAGATAAAATGACCCCTAAAAACTTAACCGAAAATTTTTCGACATGTAAACCGATGAAAAAGTTTAATCCGACTGCAATTTACAATTTATATGAACTTTTGGACTGCAATTTGCAAAAAAAATTTTAAATGGCTGCAATTTGCAAAATACGAACTTTAAAAGGCTGCAATTTGCAAATTTTCCTATTTTTAAATAACCCGAATTCTGAGGTCATTCGATCAAAATGGTCCTAACCGATCACCAACTTGTTATAGCTGGTTAAGGTGACACGGGTCACCACATGAATGGTTGTAAATTTTTAAGAAAATCAAACTTAAAATTTTTTTTAAATAAAAGAAGGAAAATTTGCGAATTGCTGCCATTTAAAGTTCGTATTTTGCAAATTGCAGCAATTTAATTTTTTTTTTTTTGCAAATTGTAGCCTAAAACTTCGCATAAATTGTAAATTGTAGTCCAATTCAACTTTTTCATCGGTTAACATGTCAAAAAAAATCTTCGTTTAAGGTTTTAGGGGCCATTTTAGTTCTTAGGGATCCGAATTGAGCTCGGAATTAGCAAAAAAAAATGTAAGTGTCTCATTTTTACAGTTTTCCACAAATCGATATATTTTTGTTACGCAAAACGAGGCACTTATGTTATTTTTTTGCTAATTTCGAGTTCAATTTGGACTCTTAAGGGCTAAAATGGCTCCTAAACCTTAACTGAAGATTTTTCGACATATAGATCAATGTAAAAGTTGAATTGGGCTGCAATTTACAATTTGGAAAATTTGCAAATTACAGCCATTTAAAGTTCGTATTTTGCAAATTGTAGCCATTTAATTTTTTTTTTTTTGCAAATTGCAGTCCAAAAGTTCGTATAAATTGTAAATTGTAGCTTAGCTGATTCAACTTTTTCACTGGTTTAAATGTCGGAAAATCTTCGGTTAAGGTTTTAAGGGTCATTTTAGGCCTTAGGGACCCGTATTGAGCTCTGAATTAGCAAAAAAATCACTTAAGTGTCTCATATTTACAGTTTTCCACAAATCGATACACTTTTGTTACGCAAAACGAGGCACTTGTGTTATTTTTTTTGCTAATTTTCGAGCTCAATTCGGATCCCTGAGGTCTAAGATGGCCCCTAAAAACCTTAATCGGGAGATTTTTTTTTGACTTGTAAACCGATGAAAAAAGTTGAATCGGGCTACAATTTTACAAATTATACGAATTTTTTGGGCTGCAATTTGCAATTTTTTTTTTAAAAATGGCTGCAATTTGCAAAATACTAACTTTAAATGGTTGTAATTTGCAAATTTTCCTTACAAATTTATACGAACTTTTTAGGCTACAGTTTGCAAAAAAAAAAATAATTTTAAATGGCTTGCAATTTTGCAAATTTTCCAAAAAAGAAAAGAAAAAACTTAAAAAATTAAACAAAAACCCAGCCCCACCCACCGTCCCCACCACCGACCACGAACATTCCTGGAACCCCCAACCTCCGCCGGTGCCTAGAATCCACCGTGCTGACGCCCAAACCTTCCTTCCGGCGTGCCGACGTTGGCGCTACCTTCCACTACCCCTAACCACCAAAACCCCCACCCAAAAAACCACCTTACTCAAACCGAAACACCTAAAAAATTGCAACCCCACTACATAAACCCCATAATCGTCCCTCTCCCACCCTAAAAACGCATCCCCATCGCATAAATTTTAGGTGTTTCGGGTTTTAGTAAGGAGGTTTCCGGGTGGGGTTTTTTTTGGCGGTTTAGGAGGTAGGGAGAGTGGCAGAGTCGGAGTAGGAGCGGGGGAAGAGGGTTCTAGGCGTGGCGGTGGTTAGGGGCGGGGGATCGTAGTACCTGGGCGGTGGGAGGAGGTGGCTGTCGAAAAGTAAGTTGTGGATAAGGTTTTTTTTTTAAAAAAAAAGTTTATTACTATTTTTTTCAACTAATCACGTGAAGAAATGTATACTCAAAACAAAAAAAAAAATATATAGTACCTCTTTAACAGGTTACCAGTCACTTAAGACCGTTAAAAGCAAATAACCCCCAAAGTTTTGATTATTTAAAAATAATTCATAGTTGAGATTATTTTGAACAAACGATCAAAAGTTGGGATTATTTTTACTAATTTTTCCTAAAATCAATACTTTCACTTTTTGAAGAAGATTCAAATTTGTGCACATTTTTTCTTTTTTTTTAATGTCTCAATTTTAGTTACTCCCTCCGTTTTTTTTTTTTTTTTTTTTAATTTGCATCACTTGGGATTGTACGGAGTTTTAGAAGAGTAATATAATACTGTGAGTGGGTGAATAAATTATTATGGTAAAAGTAATGTGGGGACATGGAAGTGAAAGTCTGTGAGAGAGATTAGTGGGGACCATGAGAGAGAAATAATAAATTAATTTGAATGGGGTTTAAAGTAAGAGAGAGAAATAATAAAATATAGTTTAAAGTTACTATATATAGAAGTGATGCAAATAAAAAAAACAACCATAAATGGAAAGTGATGCAAATAAAAAAAATGGAGGGAGTATCATATTTGCCAATTTAGATGATCTAAGGCTTCCATTTGGTTATTAGATCTAGATTAAACCATGGACCTTCATATAAAGCACGTTCATAATCATCCAAAGATGAGAATCGAAACAGATGCACATGATTTCCCACATCAATAGTTTCAAGATTACCTTTGATTCGCCACATGATCTTTGCCCTTGAGGCTATGAAAGCCGGTCTTATGTTCAAACCTAAACATTTTCCCATAAGAGTTAACTTCCAAGTTTCCCTTAAATGAGACAATGTTTCAGGAGTGATCTTCACAGCCAAATCAGAGACTAGAAGATCCTCATATGAATCTTCCCAATCTAGGGAAGTGACAGCTATATTTCGAGCTTGACTAAACCATTGAGTAGATTTTGCTACCGCTTTTCTAAATGATATGGGTGGCAAAGGAGTAAGTACTTCATTTGCACCATTTACTTCTTTATGAGATCTAAGTTAATTATCTTGTATAGTATCTTGCATAACCCTATCCATAGCCTTTGGATTATTACAAGAATTACCCTCTTCATTGCATAAAAGAGCTTAGAAGATAAACTAATTAGTCTACAAAATTTAACTTAAGCAAACTCCTAAGGTTCCCACACCCCTGGGTGTGAAGATAGCCCCCCAGATATTTACTAAAGATAAATTTATAAACTTGAAAAGAGATTAAACTAGAGAGAAAATTCATGCACGTACTATTAAGTTGTTGGAAAACAAGTCTATACGTACGTACTCTGATTACCACGTGTATCTCACCTCACCACTAGGTGAGCTAGTGCTTTCATGCATGGCCCGTCTAATATGTGAAAGGCTAAAAATCATATAACTATTATATAAAGCTAAACTTTTAGCCAGGTCACAAGACAGTGACACTTGGCATTCCACCTTTTTGCCAAGTGTCGCACTACGTTGAATAGATTTAAATAGACTTCATAAGATTAAAAAAAAGTTAGTTTAGAATTCTATTTGGATATAATTTTAGAATAAAAATGTTAGTTTAGAGTTTTATTTTCGATAAAATACCAATATGTTAGATGTACAAATTGAATTATATTTTATTCTAAATATTTATTAGATTATAATTCTCAAAAATTATCATATAAATTTTTTTTTTTTTATATCATAATAGTTTTTGGAGTGAAGAAAGTAGTTTAAAGAGTAAAACATCCATTTATAATATATACTAATCTGTTAAAATAATATACTCACAATCTAATAAAAATTGGATCACTTCACGTTACGGGTCAAGAAATGTTCAACCTTTGCTCAAAGTTTTGGGTTCAAGTTAACCCAACGGCCTTTGAACATGTATTTTATTTAATTTATTTTTTGCTGATTTTTAATTTTTTTTTCTTAATGTATTAAATCGAATATTTCCACCAACATTATTATTAGTCATTACATGCCTATTAGATACCAAATCGTCACAAAAGCACATTAATTCTAACTAATTTTGTATCAATGATATATTTTAAAATTTGATATATAGATTAAAAATTTATCTTAAATTCAATAAACAACCCGGACATCGCACGGGGCACAAAATTAGTATGAAAGAAAAGCTAATGTACGAGTGTCTTCATATATTTGCATGAACGAAGAGAAGCCCCTATGTTCACTCTACACACTATTAAC